TAAAAAAAAATGCGACAGCACTATCTTCCCTTATAAATATTTTACGAAATAGATGTAAAATTCAATGGCATGTACTTAATTACATTCTATTATCACTACTATCAATACGTTCTCTATTTCATTTAATTTACATTAATAACATTGTTTATTCAACTATTGAAGTAATAACATAAAGAATACCTTTTTATTGTAACCAAATTCAGTATTTCAGAAAAGATTTACTTAAAAATATAATTCCAAAGTATATGTTGTCAGTAATTTTATATAAATTAAGACAAGGAAAAATATAACTTTCTGCAAAATAACTTTCCTTAAAAATGAATTGAAACTGTTATATTTAGATTGCGGATGTTTATACAAATGCATATTTTTTTAGAAAATAGATAGACCAATGGGACCTGATCAGGTGTGATTCCACAAATATATTTTTTATTTTACATATTTTGGATATTGCATATATTTAGTATATCTTTTATAAAAACATGTGTCGAAACCTACTGCATATGTCATATGTGTTTATTGTATTTCTTTACATAAAATTAATACTTATAGGCTTTTGAAAATTATCTAGTTATTGATGACATCTAACGTATCTAACGTGAGCGTTCATTCTCAGCCTACAAATTGACTTTAACCGATAATCATCATCAACAAACGCTTGATATTATTGAAAAAATACTCGTAATATATAGTAATTTAAATAATAATTGATTATTATTATGTTTAAGTAATAAAATTATTTAGACATATTTCGAATATATTTTGTATATTCTCGTATGCATATATTGACATATTATTGATATATATTTGACATATGTCGTTTACGTATTTTCATATATTCTATCGACATAAACTTCCGTAGCCTATTTATAATAAAACACATAGTTGCGGATAGTTTCCTTATTATCCTATATCTAAAATGGTTACAGTACAAAACGTATTCCATGTACAAATTTTCAACAAGAATATTTTAATAACATATTTCTCGAAAGCTCTGTTTCCCTTGAAATTCCTCTCGTATCACCAATACTGTATAATTATCATGTACTCACTTTACCACAATACATATGAGTAAATTTACATTTTGCACTAATTGAAACACTTTAAATCAGATTTAAAGTATTTTAAATACTTCCAAAAGGTGAGCCATTTTAATTGCTACTTAAATATTAGTTTTCAAAATAACATTATGGCGATATATTGTCTAAGGCTATAACTCAACTTCTACTTGAATTATTTATACATATCGAACGCGATCATCATCGAATATCAGAAAAGTCTGCTGGAAAATACGCGTACAAAATATTTATCTAATCATTTTATGTACAAAAACCTCTTGTAAAACAAATCGAAACGCTGAGAGATCTCTGAGCTAGATAGAAATGAATAATTCTCAGATCAAAACTACGTCACGGTAGAAATAGTGCCATGTTAAAACGATCATAATTCACGGAACATTATTTCTCACTTGCCTTCAAGAAATGCATCGGGTTGGAAATTAGTAATTTAAACAAAGAAGCATGGATAGATTGTATAGCAGGAAATACTCGAGTAATAAAGGAGATCTAATCAAACACTGTTTCGATAGGAGAAACAATGACGAGTCAGCTCAGTCCGACAAGCCCAAACGAAGACAGCTCAGGCGAATGCCGTCCAGACAAGCCTCGCTTGCAACGATGTATGGGTCAAAGTAAAAAGACTTTCCGATTGAGAAAGAGTCGAAGAACTCATATGGAGGTAAGATCCAAAAGAAAAGAATGACCCAGGTCTGACTTCTATTGGTGATAGAATACTAATCTCTTTCCCTCGGGACACTCGAATCTCTTATAAAATGCAAACACCCTCAAAATATTCGGTTTTATCTTTCAGGTGCCGCAACTGACTCAAGAACAAAGCGACGGGACATCAATCGCGCAGCCGACGACTCAACCCTTGGTTTTAACACCGCCGACGACAACAATAGAAACTTCTACTTTCAACATCCCTTCGGATTCATCATCCATTCGCTCCAGACGGGGATCGATTATTCATCAGCCAGATGGTGAAAGAAGCAACATCGCGCCAAATGACCAACAACAATTGCACACAAACATTCATCACCATTATCACTACCCTCATCATCATCACCACCACCTTAGCCTGCAAACGTCGGACGTTTCGTGGGACGAAGATACTTCCAGCACGTCTGGATATCGCGAATCGTATAGCATGCAGCTGGTATCGCTGGATAGCAGCAACAATAATCGAACTGTTCAAGCACCACCCTTGGCATCACCGGATTTGAACGATATGCCTTCGACCAGTAGTACCACGACGAACGTCATTGCCTTCGATGGCAGTTCACCAGACTGTTCCATCAACGGAAGTGGAGGAGAGAAAACTGCGCTGTTGACCTCCAGTCAAAGAACGACGTCTCAACATTCACTGTTAATAGTATTCCCGAATCAGGACGAAGACACGTTGATATAAATAAACCAATGAACACAGTCGGTGTTTTCTGTTACGAGACTGATTAAGGCATTAACAAACCTGTAATTGCTAACGAATTGGTTTTCATTTAAACTAGGAAATGTACAGTGTTTCCTTTTCACGAATTCGTAACCGGTGTATCTTGTATAGAATACCGTTTCATTTTGTCAGGCAATTAAGAAAGAATGATGAAGATTCTGTTAGCAATTAAAGGTTCGGGCGAAGATGTAACGTAGCGAATCCCGAGTGACAATGTAGAGTGACTGCAACTTAATAAAACGTTTTAATATAGTGTTCACAGTTTTCATTGTTTTCCGTTGACCGGAAACACCAATTACAGGTACATATGTTCAGAGCCTAGTCACGTGGTCCATGAATACTTTGTAATATTTAGAGACTATGAATAGCGAAATTACGACCACGTGGGTAATTAGGCACAAAATGTTTGTATGAGACTATTCCCTGTACAAGTAAATGCATTTGAAATAAATATAATTTATAAGCATTACGCTGGATTTTTCTGTGTCTTTCTACGTGTCCTATAATATTATCTGTTTATCCTTGTGGATCCAAGTGATTAACAAATTTTTCAAATTACAAAAAAAATTTAGTCCGCTTCCTTTGCATTTTATTTTGTTGTTTTGGTATACTTACACTTACATTGTTTGATATTATAACTTACAAAAGTATTATAACGTTCATATTAAACTTTTTTCATAATTACTTATCGTATACTTTAATAAACTAATATGTAGACTGCGAATTCTATACATTTATGACAAAAATGAGTAGATAAAATGCAAAACAGTAAAAACATTTAAATAATTGGAAGATACTGTTGCATTATTTTCTACTCATTAAAATTATTTAAAGCTCCTTCGTCATGCACTCATTGTAGACAATTTTTATTTTGCATAAAAATCCGCAGTTTACTAACATGTTTAGCATTGTTTTCATTGGAAGAGCATCAGCAATATAATTAAATAACAATCTTAATTATAAAGTAAAATATACAAGGAGGAATCTAAGTCATAATATACTACCTATGTTTGATATAAATTGAGCAGAAACGACCAAGAGGTCAGTCTGATACCTACGGTTGGAGTGTGTAAAGTATACTAGAGTATATTTCGATGTTAATTAATATTTCCATTATTAAAATAATTAGCATGTACTATTAAAAATTTTAGAATTAACAATTTGTACTGAATATTTAATGAAGAGAGCCATATCAATTACGACAATTATTACGATAATTATCGACCATTATTTGTGTCTCGGTAGATCGATACTAAGATCAGCAAGAACAAACGACACCGCGGCGAACAAAGCTGTTCCCCTGTCAAGTGCATCTGGGTTCTCAACCAACATTGTATCTGCATTTGAATGATGGTAATAAAAATATTTGTCATTCTGTGTCCACAGTGACCCTCCAGGTATACCTGCATCTACCCAACTAGTAATATCAGGACCACCCTGAGGACTACGCAATTTCATTTTTCCCATTGGAAGTAATAATCTGCAAAAAGTTATTTTTGTTGAACAATTACACTATAATACAGTCTATTTTCATTTTATAATTTCTCACCCCATAATTTCTTCTAATATACATTTGACTTCATCTGTTCCAGTAAACTCTAGACCTAAAGGCATAAATGTACCCATATCTGATTCCATAACAAACTGGAGATTATTCTCTTTTGCTTTATGAGATTTAATATATTGACTGGATCCTATCAGACCCATCTCTTCGGCTGTCCACATAATCAGTCTATAAATATTAATTCTTACATAAGGCTTGTATTAACATAATAATAAAATATTTTAAATATAAAAATATTTTTAAAATATCGAATTATTTTCTTTTAAATATATTACAAAATCACCTCACTGTTCGACGAGGACGAAAGTTAAGTTGTTTCAACAATTTTAAAGCGTGCCATGATATAAATGCACCACCTCCATCATCCATTGCCCCCTGACCAACATCCCAACTATCTACATGACCAGATACAACGACTACTTTTTCTGGCAGAGTAGAACCAACTATTTCAGCTATTATGTTCCTTGACAACTCATCTGGTAAAGTTTTAGCTTCCATCTTTAAATTAATTTTTATGGTTTTTCCTAAGAGGTCAAAACATAAAACATTCATACAAAATATGTATATGTATATGTATATATGTCTGCGACTATTAGTTGATCATTATCAAATTCAAATAACCATTATGGATATATACTTACCTCTTATTGACATCCTTCTTAAAAGGACTGAATCTTCTTGTGTAATACATGCAGTTGGAATTTTAGTCACATTCTCTGCATACCTCTGCATACCTGTATGAGGTGTGTATAAAGAGTATGGTGTAACTGATCTAATTAATGCAGCAACCGCACCATATTTAGCTGCTTCTGATGCTCCACTACTTCTATATTTTACTGTTTCATCATATGAAACGTATCGCTCATTATATACAACAATTTTTCCTGGTACCTAATAAAAAAATACTTTGAAATTTATTAGAGAAAAGAAAAAAATAACTTGATGAATAATTTTATAATATTAAGAAGTACTTACTTCATGTTTCCTCTTTTCAAGTTCTTTGAAACTATTTACAACAATAGCTTCAGCAGTTATCCCTTCAGGTGGAGTACCAACACTGTAACCTAATCCCAAAAGAGCTATTTTTTTATTCCTTGGTGATAAAAGTGTTGCAGATTCTTGTCCTCTGAAAATAAAACATTTCTTCAATATAAATTATAAAATTTATCAATGATTATTTGACTCACAATGTGAAATATCTCATAACATTGTAAATTTATTTAAGGATACTTTAATTTTTCAATTATTTTATCTACAAATAAGACATAAAATAAGTAATTATTACTAGATAATTATCAAACATTACCTAATCCAGTGGGGTACACTGACAGGTTCTCCATGTACGTTTTCTAAACCAAATTCCAATGACTTATTTAATACATAATCAATTGCTTTTTCGAGTGTTTTTGTGCCAGTAAATCTTGGACCAAATGTATCTACAAAATTAGCCAGTTCATACCATGTGACTCCTTTAAAAGAACCTGCCAATGTTTCGTTTATTATAGTTTGCACTAATGGTGCATATGATTGAATTTCTTCTAACAACTTGGATGGCAGGTTGCAAGATACATTATTATTATTTCTTGTGGTGGTCTCTAACGATGTTACAAAGTGCATTTGCACTAGGCACATAACAAAAAACAATTTTACAAAGTACAACATTGTATCAACTTTGAACTTGCGGATTTTCTACAACTAACTATGCTATAAACTACATTAAAATAATTGATGGTTCACTGTATTTAAATATTATATCTGTTTACACGCAGCAGAAGATGTTCAATAAAAACCGATAAATTCTTCTGATAATGAAACGAATGATGGTTACATATGGAGGAGGAGGGGAAATTATATGACACTGACATGACCTTATTTCCTCTACTTCTGACAACCTCAACGGATATGTACATACTTACACGATACAATGTAAATATGTATGTAAGTATGTACATACATACTATCATGTGTGGGATGAGTAAGAAACAGTATGTAAGGAATGTGTATATATGTATACATGTATATACATACTACGTATGTAATTTTACTATCTCTAAATTCTACATTATGTGCTTGCAGAGAGAAAATTTCTTCTTCTCGATATGCAAAATAGAAATTGTCTAAATTAGTAGCAAAAAATAGTAGCTACATATATACATACATAGAAGTTTATTTATTCCTTTCACAACTTTAATAAATTGATAATAATATATTGACGTCCATAAATTATTTCAATCTTTCTACTGTTTTGAAGAACACCAATTGAATTTTGTCATACGTAAAGGCATAAAATCTAATTATACATTTTGGCCATAAATTACTATAATTAATTCTTTAAAAATTCATCATTCTCTTCTTAAAAAACTCGACAAGATCAAATCTGTAGTATGTACATCAAAGATTTTCGTTTGACAGATTTGACATTTAAATTACCGCTTCGCGAAGAGTCTACAGATGTTTACCGGTACAAGTTGATGACATTCCAGGTGAAAATTAATTCACAAAAATATATGTACGTATGCATTCAATGGAGACAAAAATATACCTCAGGTTTTGCCTGATTTTTCTATCTCCTTTAGCTTTGTTAAAGCACATCCAATCCGCAGTGAAATCTGTTTTAGCATGAATCGTCAGCCACTCAGAGCCAAACAATTTCTGCGCTTATTTTTGCCAGCGAAGGGCGCTGCGGCCAGAGAGGCTTGCAAAACTTGAGGTAGGTCAATATCTAGGTGCAATCCCGTTCCAATCCCGTTCCCGTCTACTATAATAACACGTCTATGCTTTGACTTCAACCACATGGACTCGTAGGATACATGTGGGATATTGTTAACCGGATTATTTTTGCAATACAGTTTAAAAGATGTAAACGGACATATGTCTTCAAGTAATCAAGAAATACGAATTTTAAATAAGGAAGAATTTTAAATATATCCTTGAAGGTAAATAATGTTAAATATTTTTATTAATTTCTGTTATAACCTTATATTGTGTTGCGAGCATGTGCGTAACAGTTTTAGAAAACGAGATGTTTCTAATTTATCTGCATTTTAATATTAATACAAGTGTTGTTGACAAAGCATGTTAAAATAAATCTTACAATAACTCTTACTTATTTTATGAAATGTACATACATTTAATGTCACATATTTATCAAACAGATGTCAGTTGTATCATCAAGAGTTAGTAGTGTCTCATCGATATTAAAGGCTCCAGGAGTCAGGTCGCAATTAATTAGACAATCTAACAGGGTTTACTTTAAGCTTCCAAATAATTTAAAGAATATTATTTACAATTTTGAGAATGGCAGTGGAATTAAGGATTATGAAGAATTAATATGTATCTTGCGAGATTCTAATATAAAGGTATGTAATGTTAAAGATACAATGTATATTCAAATAGTTCTGTTGTTTTAATATAGCTTAATTCATCATCATCAATTTAATATTTGTTATGTTTAATTATAGGATTCAGATCTTATAGAATTTTTAACAAATGTTAGACATTGTATATCATTACTCAGTCCAGTTCATAAATTACTTGTTGAAACACTTCTACAGATGAAATGGACTAATCGTTCTTCAGAAGTTGCATCTGCTTATAAAACATTTATAGAGGATTTAATTTGTATGCAAATTCATTTTGCTAAAAATGTGATAGATAATTTAGTTGAACATTTTAAGCCAGGTATATTTAATAAAAATATAATTATGTAAAAGTTTGTAAAAGTTTTTAATATTAATAATATTTTTATTTTATGCACAGAAGACGATGATGATACAAAGTGGGAAGATGGAAAGTGTATTGATGTTCAAAGATTAAGTCACATACATGATGTTCTACGCAAAATCTTAATAGTTGTGCCCATGTAAAATCCTATTTAAATGTTTAATACATATTTAAATAGAGTGATGATTTTAATATAAATTCAATGTAATATTATTTTGTAGGTCAAGTAAACTTCTATTACAGTCACTTAGAGGAAGGTTTCCATATATTGTTCACGGAACCCATACGCATGAAGTGTATATTTATGCATTACTTCAAATATTGGAATATGCACCTCAATTAAGATCTGACATTTTGTCTCTAATTATTAATAGGTAATATATTTATATGAGATGAAATCTTCATTATTTTTTGAATGGAAAATATATATCTTTTATTACAGGCTCATGGTATTAGATGTAAATATACCACGATTAGAGACAGATAATGAAGATGAAGACTTAATGGATGATAGTAGTGAATGCGACAGTACAACTGGTAATGAGAACAATGTTGTTGCAGACAGTGATATAACAGAAACAGATAAAATACATCCAATAGCTCATAAATTGGATGTATGCATGGAACAGATTCTGAAATACATGCATGACTTCTGTTTTATTGAAGGAGTTTTGCAAATAGAACCTTTAAAAAGTCTTTACTTTGATTTATTGCAAATATTTGAGACAGTAATATTACCAACCCATGCAAGTCAATATGTGCAGTATATTATATTCTATATCTGTAGTTTTAAAACAGCTGTTGCAGAGGCTTTTATAGATTGGTTATGGCGTAAAGTTACAAATCCTAATATACCTTCTATAATACGGCGATCATCTGTAGCATATATTGCAAGTTTTCTAGTTACAGCTAATTTTATTACAACTAGGTAAATATTTACTAGTATCACATTTAGTATCACATTTATAAAAAAATACATGTTTTGTATACTTACTTTTTTGATAG